GTGTGTGTGTGTGTTTCCCAATCATGTAGCAGAAACCACAGACAGCTCCATTATATTTCCATTCAACTGTGACTGTTTCTGGGAGTTGAGTACAAGTGAAGTCTGATGTATGAAGGGGTTCATCCACTGAGAGCCTTGAAATTTATCAGTTAGGCTTTAAAATGGATTCTTCAGTGAACTGGGAGCTGATGCACCGGGGCAGGAAGTGTGAAGATGAGCTCCTTTTCCCTTACATAACTCAGCGTCTTTATGGAGTCACCTGTGCTTGAGCGTATGAAAACTCAGTGAGACCTGATGTGGTGCTGTAATGGAGGCAGTTTGTACCTGAATGTTAGTTTTTATAAGATACCAGATTTGAAAGCTACAAATACATTTTTCTACTTCTTAACTGTAGCATCAATGAGACAAAATACAGCTTGTGAAAGTAAATACGCTGAAAATAATTACAAAAAGGAAAGTGAAGATAATTTTGGGTTGAAAAATAAATCATAATCCAACAGCATGCATAAAGATGCAACCAGAGATGACTATTTTAGATTCATTTACTCTACTTCCAGACCACCCCCTTTCAACTCAGACCATCTCCTCTTTGTTTCAGCCAGAATTATTGTTTAATAAATCATTATTTTCCCTTACCTCCGTGTCCTTGCCTGATTCTGCATGTCGTGGGTCAAAACATCAGTAAAAGATCAGAAAAATGTGTTACTAGATTTGCTTATTTAAAAGTAAAATATATGCGTCTTTAATAGCTGCTACAGCTGGCCGTTTGTGCCCTGAGCACTGAGCGCTGCACTCAAGCACACAAGTGTAATTGAAGATGAAGTGTTTGTAATCCAGTAGAGAAACATCTGAGAGACAAATCATCGAGATGATGCTCTGTCTCTGAATTTAAAAACAAATTTTAAATCCTACTTCAGAATTTTGTGTATTTCTGGTGAGGAAACTATTGTATCAGCATTTTACTATTTTACTGAAACTGGATCTAAATCATAATATAGCAGCAAAAATTGTTTAATGCATGAATTTTATTCAGTTTTGTTGTTTAGCAAATAAACTGATAACATACTAAGCTGATATATTTGGGGGCTTTTTTACCCTCTTTTAATATTTAGTATCTTAAAGAACAACCATGAAAGTTTGATTTAAAGCCTGTCCCCTTGGTTGTCACTTTACAAAGTCAGACAAGTCCTCCTGCCTTCACATTATCATCTCCACCCACTGCCTGACCCCTCAACCCCTATGAGGTCTACTCTGATTACTTCTTTTAATCAGTGGGCAGAATATTGATGAGGTAAGTTGCACATACAATGTTTTGTTATCAGTGGGCACCATGGATCCTTAATTAAACTTCCAACTAGAAAAGCTCCTCAAAGTTTGTGTTTATGCAACAAACTGTTTGTGTAACAGCCGTTGTTTTTTTATTTATTGTTTTACCAGGATGGCACAGTTTTTGAAATATACAAAATATACTTAAATACATTAAAGAGGAATTTTACTTATATTTTTAACACATTTGCAGTGCTCTCTAGTAGGAATGAATGCCTCAAGATGTACTCAAAGGAAAAAAAGCTCTGGTGCAACTGTTTGAGGACAGAGATTTCAGCTGGAGGAGAAAGTAGCTTCAGGCGGCAGAATTTAGAGTCTTATTTGCTTATATTTGGACATCAGCCGTCAGCATTTTTGTCGCACACGGTTGTGAAACCTAAAACTCTGGTTATTTCTGTCCACACAGAAACGCTTAAAACAGGGAAAACACAGATTTTCACTTTGGCCGGAGTTCTTAAAAAAATAGTTTTTGCTGCGTAAATCTGTGTTTTTGTGTGGATGACAGGCCGAATTGTAGAAAAATATCTTAGTTTTGGGAGAAACCCGGCTATGTGTGGTCAAGGCCTAAGTGACAGTGTGACATAGATCTGTCAGGCTTCTCTGAACTGAGCTTTTTTCCATTATCTTCTATCAGAAGGTAATGCAGGAGAAAGGTGTAGGACAAGATTTTGACATTGAGCCTGCATGTTAAACTCAAAGTGACCAATCATTTTCTAAAATAATAAGTAAAAAATGGTTTAGTGAAGCTCCTCTTTAAGGAGCTGCTGTTATGGAAGTCACCCAACAATACCAACAACTGAGCCTTACCAAGAATATTACTCACCAGTTTTAAACAAGGAAATTAAGGCCCTGTACTTACAATATTCCACAAACCAAAGAGCTTTTACTAAGGTTTGACCTTAGTGACATAAAAGTGAAGATAAACCCTAACACCCCCTCCCCCCAACCAAAAACTATTCCTTCAAAAACGTCAGCCAAAGTGCAGATTTGTGAATTCTCTGTTGTCAGCGCCTGTTTTTGCAACTCAATTAACTGCTCTACATAGTAGACCACAGGCAAACAAAGACTTTAAGGAGAGTTATTGCCCACCACCTTATTGCACGTCCAAGGAAGGAATATGCAGAAAATTTGGGAAGCTACTGCAACCTACAGCTTTGGCATGCCTATGACTGTGCTTCACAATGCAAAGGACTTTTTGGCTGCGGTGGAGTGAACCCACGTTTTTTTTTCTAGATGGGCGGGGAAGGATGTTCTGTTTTACAAAATCCCGACTATGTATGCACGTGACCCAAAACTATGTTTTTGAGTCTGGAAAAGAAAGATACCATACCATACCAAATTTATTTATAGAGTACATTTAAAAACAGCATGCCAGCTGACCAAAGTGCTGCACAGGAAAGGGGCACTATGAATTGAAACTGACGAGATACAGATGCAATCACAGTGGTAAAGTGTCCTGAGACTGGGAGATTGGGGTTCAAATCCCGGTCGGGTCATACCAAAGACTTTAAAAATGGGACCCAATGCCCCCCTGCTTGACACTCAGCTTTGAGGAGTTGGCTTGTGGGGTTAAATCACCCATAGTTCCCGAGCGCAGCCACAGGTGTGGCTCACCGCTCCCCACAGGAATGGGTCAAGGCATAGATGGATTTTACTATTGTGTGATGATGACTGGTTTAAAGAGGGACTGCTCACCATCAGAAAATGTAACTCTGCCCTTAATTAAGATTAGAAAAATACCATGAAAGTGGGCATTGCCAGGAGGCACAGAGTGGCATGGCCAAGTGTGGAGAATTTTGAGAGGCACCTGGCTGCAGACCTCCACTGTCAGGCTGCTTCCGGTGGAGGCTCCACTGTCAGGATGGGAAATGCACAGGATACAAAATAAAACGGCAAACGTACTTACGGAAAACGGCGAACATACTTACGCTTGTAATTGATAGGTTTCAATAAAAATATTACGTAAAATCTATCAGTTTTTTCTCCATAGTTCATATGTAGTTGTCATTTAACATACTTACGGTTGTAATTTTTCTAAATGAACTAACGAATGGCCGGGGATGGTTTCAACATAAAACGCTAACATATGCTAACATACTTCCGGTCGTCATATTTCTAAATAAAATCCCAAATGCGGTTTCGGTTGAATTGCTCTCCTGAGAAATGCATTCATTTTTTAATATTACGTCTTAGATTATGACAGAATATATCATAATGACCATGTTGTGCAACAGTAAAGGAAAACACAAAAAAAAATGACAAACAAAACTAAGGTTTACTAAATAAATGACAACTGTGTATGAACTATAGAAAAATAATTGATAGATTTTACGTAATATTAAAAAATAAATGCGTTTGCGAGGAGAGCGATTCAACCGAAACAGCATTCGGGATTTTATTTAGAAATATGACGACCGGAAGTATGTTAGCGTATGTTAGCGTTTTATGTTGAAACCTATCCCGGCTATTCTTTAATTCATTTTGAAAAATTACAACCGTAAATATGTTAAATGACAACTACATATGAACAATTCAGAGAAATAATTGATAGATTTTACGTAATATTTTATACTGAAACCCATCAATTACAAGCGTAAGTATCTTTGCCGTTTTCCGTAAGTACGTTTGCCGTTTTATTTTGTAATGTATCCCGTGCATTTCCCATCCTGACAGTGGAGCCTCCACCGGAAGCAGCCTGACAGTGGAGGTCTGCAGCCAGGTGCTCTTGGGAATTTCCATCCTGGGAGGGAGGGGGAGTGGGAGGAGACTGTACCGATGACATGAAATAGTTCCAGCCCCAGTCAATCACAAGTCTAAAATGCAGTAGCCGCTGTTCTGCCACAGGGGGCAGCACTAAGACGTCTTTAGACCTAGATTCTAGATCTAATCAAGTTTACACAAACATGTCAAGAAATGCACAGAAACAGAAAGATTGCATTTGTAAAGACCCAGTTATACATTTAATTAGCAAAAAATATATATTATTTTGGGGGTTAGTTACTCTTTCACTTTAAAAACAAGAAAGGTCAAAAAATGAAGAAAAAAAGACAGAATAAAAGCAGCACATAAAACAAGCACGCACCGTAACCAGATAGCTAAAACCAGAAGCGGGGCACAAAATAAAAAAACACAAAGTTCACTGACCAAAAGCTAATTAGTAGAAATGTTACTTCAGACTGCATTTAAACCACACAAGTGGCGGAGCATGTGTTGCACAAACAGAGGTACTAGAGGGAAAAGATGTAAAATGAACAAACCATAATTGTTCTTCCTCACCACAGTAATCAGGAAACTGCTGCCTTTCAAACTTGTAAGGCTAATCTGAGGGGCACTGAAATACCGTTTGCTTAATTTCCCAGAATTAGCAGAGAATTCATCCATGATTATAATCAGTCATACATTGTCTGCTGCCAGTAGCTTCTGATTTTTACATGTATTTAATAAATGTATTAAAGTTTGGAGTTGCTTTTGCCTTCTCTATCTCCAGCTCCTGTTTAAATGTGTTCTCTGATACATTTTTCATCTTGTTCTTTTTTCCTCACTTGATCCTAAATTGTATTCAACCACAGAGAAAGAAAGCACCCTGTTGCTACTGAGATGCATAGGCGTCATTTTAACCGGGGACACCGGGGACATGTCCCCGGCAAAATTTGTGATTGGAAGCTGTGTATGGCATCAAAATGGGCTCAGCTCAGTGTAAAAATAAAAAACAACATTGAAAACTCGAAAAATGAAATTGTAAAATCTAATGAAATTTCAAAACTTGAAAAAAAAATTGTAAATGCCAACAAAAAATGGGAAATTTTAAAAATGAATTTGTAAATTCGAACTAAAATATGTAAGTGTGGAAAAATAAATTGTAAATTAATAAATTAAGTAAATAAAAAAATATGACTAAACTTAAAACTGCAAGCAAAAATTAAAAGATTTAAATTAAGGAGAACACACTGAAACAAGTTTCGGCTGAGTTTACCTTTCTGCTCCCCGCCTCTGCATTCAGTCCAGAGATTTACGATTACGTTCAGTTTTTTTTTTCGTTTACGAAGCTGAGCCTGATTTTATGAGGGGGCGGGCTTTGTGCTCATTGGCTACATGGAAAATAATTGACATCCAGGTGAAAGCGCCTAGATTTGACGTCATTTCCGGCCGTTCAGTGTGGCGCGGCTGTTAACGCGGCATCGGAGCGGTGTGAGCTGGCCAGCGGCGGTGTATGGCGCGATGGATGACCGACGTTCATCTGCAGTAAGTTGATTTTGTGGTCATGTACCGTTTATGAACTTCAGAGTTTTGTTTTACTTCAGCTTATTTCGCCTGATTAAGCAGCGAGTTACTCTTGTTAGCGGCTAACCATATTAGCTTTAGCTAAATTTGAAAACACTAACCATCTGTGGGAGGTCACCTCCAATTTTATTAAGCTAATTTGAAATCGGTCTTTGTCAGATGACGTACCGGGTGCTGTAGCGTTGTATGATGGGATAGCTAGGTGTATAAACAATGAATGCGTTGGTTGCTTTGTGTTTAGATCTTATAAACCTGCAGAAAATTGTACACGTGCAAAGGGCTGCCATGCCATATTCACAAGAAGGCAACACATTTAAATGGAGGCAGGGATCTCGTTAAAAATAAATTGTGAATTTTTATTCATTATTTGAAAATGAAAATGTTAGGAGGAAAAGATCATTTTTTTAATTCTGTCCATTTAAATTACATCAAAAATCTCTATTGCGACCTCTGCATGTACATAATGTTTCTGTATCTGCTTGTAAATTATGTTGATAACATGTTTAATGAAGGATCATCCAGAAAATAATACCTGGCGCAGCGCCTGTGTTAGTGGAGTCCTGTTTCTGGATGGTTACTTTTACTTAATTATACGTATATGCCAGAATTTTGCTACGCCTACTGAAGTGATATATTTTCAGCAGTAATGAGACGCCGGAGCCCCATTTGTTACTTTAGAGTTTGTAGGGATCTACAATGTTGATTGTAGACAATTTCTGAAAATACCGATTTTTAGCCTCCTTCACAAGTTTATTCCTGTAAGGGATGTGTTCGTCCTTGTTCTTTTTATCCATCATTTTGACTTTTGTGCTGCTTCAACTTCAGTTGTGGCTTTCTCTAGCAACGCGAGTCATACACCCAAAATGGCGCTAAGGGGATGTGGTTGACATGCAGGTCACGTATCTGACAAAGACCAATTAAACGTAAATGTGCGCACATTCTTTGATAATATCTGTCAACTACCTACATTGGCCCTCCAGACAAATGTCAGTGGCGACATTTCATCTGCGGTGCATGCCCTGGTCAGTGTGCTACAGCAGAATTTGCAAGAGGTTCAGGGCCAGACGCCTACTCGTGTACCTAACCAGCAGGGTGAGACGCCCCAAACGCTTCAGCCCCCGATCCAGACACAGTCCCATCAGGGACGGAATCTGACCCCCACCAATGTACACCAAGACATGACCAGGTTTATCTCAGCTTCATTTTGATAAATAAATATAAAGAAAGGGTTAAAATGCTAAACAAGTGCTTTCATACAATGCTGTTTCTCTTAATTTTCTGTGCAGTTTGTTTAGTGACATTGTTTTCACTTGTCTGCAGATCTTTTCCTGCTCTTTTTCAAAGGCACAAATTATTGGGGAAAAGACGATTCCTCGGTGGCAGTAACACAGTCAAAGCTACTAAAGCACCAAAATCTTTTCGTTGTAACTGTTACCTGCTACACAGTAATGCAGAAACTACTCCACAGCCTTCAGAAGAACTTGAGCATGTTCTGGCAGGACTGGGGAAACGAAGTCTCACAATTTCAGAGGACATGGACCATGTTCAGGTAATATTCCTTACAATAAAGTTCTTAGGCTGTTCAAGGAGATGTATTGTCTATAGATATAAAACAATTTACACATTTGAGTCTTGCAAGTTAAATTCACAATTGGAATTGTGGTCATTTTTCCCTTTATCATTAGGTGTCCACTCAGCTGACAGAAGCATATCCTAAAATGAAGGTCTTAACTGGAGGATGGCTGCTTAAAAAAGCATCAGGTGCTTTGCAATGCTACAGTGTATTTTGTACATATATTTATTTAAGAACCACTTAATTAAGTCAGTCTTTTATTAATTTATAGGAGGCCGTGGACATAGGCGTCTTACTGTCCTCCCACCAGATCCTGAGGGCTACACCGGAGCCCAATTAAAGACAGCAACAGGAGCTGGTAAAACAGTCATTTACATTGTTCCACTTCAAGAGGAACTAGATCTGAGTCCACTCCCAGATGATGCTAAGGAATATGAAAAGATGCCAAAGGCAACATGCAAGTCATGTAGTCGTGAAATGCCTCTGCAAGTGTTAGCTCTTCATGTCCAAGAATGTATTACAAATATCACTTCATCGGAAGATGAGCAGGTAAATGATTAGAATTGCCTAACCCATATTAATTTATTAACTTCTAGGTTTACTTTGTTTATGAGATCAGCCTCTAGTTTGAACAAACTTCTCTGGGCTTTTTTTTAGCAACGTGAAGTTGATGGCCCCCTGGACGTTGAAACTAACATTGAGAAATTATCTTCATCTGAAGATGAAATGGTGATTTAAAGCAATTCCAAACTAAGCCTGTTGACATTTTGGTGATTGTCGTGGTGAACCTGAGATGTCGAGTGTGTATGGCAGCTTCACATTTGTTGGTGTGCCACAGGGCTGCCGTGGCTATTTGTTGACTCGTCCCTACCAGAGTGTGAATGTGTGTGGGTGTGTGAATGACTGGTGTAGTTAAGTGTCTGCTAAGTCACCATACACTAGAAAGGGCTACATAGGGACAATTAGCCATTTCCTATCGCATTATTATATGTTGTTTAATGTTACTTGTGTAATTAAGTGGTTGTTCTCTTTGCTTACTACATATTCATGTAACGAATAACATTTTTTTTAAATTTTTTTTGTTTTTATTTTTAGATTGCTGAAAAAGAATGTCCACTATGTGGAAAAATGCTCCCAGAAGCTGACTTACCCATGCACGCCAGTTTTTGTGGAGATATCGGGTATAATTTTAAGTTTAAATAATTTTATATGACAAATGTCACTTGGATTTTTTATTTGACAATTCTAAGTCTTAATTTTGTTAGCTATGAAAGCCACATGATGACAAACACAGTGCCCCAGGACACAGCGAACGACACCACAGAGATGCACAAAATATTGTGGTAAGTTTTAATCTTTGCATGTTCTTAAAATCATAATGTGTTCATTGTGATGTTATTACTTTGTACACTCTGTTCAACAGTGAAGAAGATGTCCTGCGCTGGCTGGCTACACAAATTGACAGGAGTAAAGAGTTTCATCTCTGTGTGACAAGAGATGAGCTTGTAGAGCGAGGCATGAAGTTGTGGCAACGTCAGAAAAATGCCTCCCCACTAAACCCACTGAAAGTCACCTTCATTGGAGAGGCAGGAGTAGACACAGGAGCCTTAAGGCTGGAGTTCCTGACAGGTTCACTAATTAGTATTTAATGATATTGCTTTATTTTTAATCACTTGGTAAATATACCACCAAAGACTGATAAAATGGGTTATAATACACTTCTGTTCACTACTCAGAAATGGTTGCTGGCTTGGAGGAGAGACTGTTTGAAGGGGAAGAAGGCAAAGGAAAAATGCCAAAATATTCTATCAGTGACTTAGAGAAGGGACTGTTCAGGTTTGTACATTTTAATTTGCTTTTTAGCCATTTGTACTGTACTGACCCTTTAAATGTGGTTCTAGGAAATTATCATTCTGCATAACAAGTTCCATGGCCATAGTTTCATTCTGTTATCAGAGTTGCAGGGGAAATCTTTGCAGCCAGTCTGGCCCAGGGTGGACCTGCCCCCAATTTCCTGCAGGAATGGTGTTTCAGTTTCCTTGCAACAGACCGGCTGACAACTGTCACCAAAAATGATATATATGAGCCGCAACTGAGAAGTTTGATCATGAAGGTACAAGGTGTCATCAGATAACAGCAACACAACTCTACCACTGACTCTGGTTGGAAACATTGATGTTTTATCTCCACAAATAACACAAACTTGATTGAGTTCTGCCGTGAGGTGGATTTGCTAATGCTAACTGTTAGCTCCTACTACTCAAGACATTGTCTGCTATTCAATAAATGCTAAACCAACAACAGCCTTCCTTTTCATCAGTGAAGATGGGTGAGTCCATGAATATTAAGTGACAGTGTGACGTAGATCTGTTGGGTTTATTAAATCCTAGCATTTCAGCCAATAGTTTCTATTTGGAGAAAATGCAGGAAAAAAATTATAATGTTTTGTGAGTCCTTTTTCAACACTCTGTTTTTATCGAATTTTGACATAACCACTGACTCGTTTCTGCATTTGTTTTGTCTTCAAGCTTGAGGAGTCTGAGGATCTATCAGCGTATACAGAGGAAATCCTAAACTGTGGTTACACAGGGCAAATCAACATGGAGAAAAAAGGGGAGATGATCAGGTGTCATTTTGTCATTGAAACTTCTTTAATGTTGAACATTTTACTATTTTGAATTTGAGTTCTGTGTTATGTTTTCTCTGGTAATGTTTTCCTAGTTAGCGCCTTTTGTGAATGTAATTGCAGTTGTAAATGAAAATGTCCCTACTGAGGGACAATAAATGGATTTTCAATTATATTCTTCTACTTACAAATTATTTTAGAGCTTAATATGTTCTTTCTAATTCTTAATTTTTTTTTTCACACATTTTAAAAAGGGCCATTGTTTTGCATGCAACAATGCAACGCACACCAATGCTGAAGGAACTACGAGATGGCCTGGATTTGTACAAATTTGCCACGGTCCTGAAGGAGAAACCAGAACACTGTCGAGGTCTTTTTGTCACAGACAATAATGACAAGGTATTATTGCCTATTTTGTATGTTGAAGGCCTGTCAGACAGTATAACAACAAGGTCTTTCCATGTCGTTTGCAGGTTGACTCCCACTACATTGTTTCTCACCTTGACCCCCAGATGAGTGACAAGGGCAGCATCAAGCACATCAAAGAAGTTAAAATCTTGAATTACTTTCAGGATTTTCTGATTGAACTTGAGGGTATGTATTATTGACATTATCGGTTGCTTACAAAACAATTCAGCACTTAGGTATAGCAATAGTCAGAGAATATCACTATTAAGCTTTTATGTGACACTCCACAAATAAAAAACTGGTGACACAAAAGTAATCATGCTTCAGTTCTGACAACTGTGGTATTGTCATCTGTGCCCCAGACAAGTTGGTTCCCAAAGTCAGACTTTCTTGGTCAGCTTAGGCATTTACACAGTAGCATCGGCTCCACTCCACCTGGACCGGGTTGAGTTTCTCATTTAGGTAACCTTTGATTTTCCCATGTGCAACCAGACGTCTTTTCAGTCCTGTTCCCGAGGTGGTCTGTCTGGAGAGGAACTGGTCCAATACCCACAGCTCATTTCTCCCTCTGGTTTGTCTCTGCTCTCTGGGGCGAGCAGCAAACTCATAACTTTATGGTTTTGGTCCATCATGAGTAGAATTATAAATATTTAAAGTTTCCTCTGTGTCAGAGCCGCCATTAAAATCTATATTTTTCTCTAGATTAAGCTAACAGGACTCCCTCAGCTGACTTCACTTGGTTTGGGAGAAAAAAAAATTCTCACCAAAATGACTCTAAAAGCCTAAATAATTTATCTATGTGTAAAAAATGTCTAAAACGAGTTTCTAATATGTTTCTCTAAACATTGGTTCATGGGAGTCTCTAACCTGCAATTTGCTTTAAAATGAGTGTCTGACTAATGTAGGTTTACTGTCTCTTACTGCTGTGAGCAGTGCGTGCACACGCACACACCCTCTTTCAGTCATAATTTGAGGGTAAAAATGAACAACAAAGCAGGATGCCTCCAACAAGATTGCTCTGGCTGCATTTGTTTACAATGAAAACAACACAAACTTCTTTGCAGTCTCTTGCCCCGCCCACATGCTTGGAGATGCGCTCATGACGTCACACGCCTATGTGCTCAATCAGTTATGCATTGCATGGGCGTCTCACCCAAAACACCCACATTTTCCCTGCAGTTTAGCTCAAAAACTTTACTTGGTCTGGTCCCTCTGTTTCTTTCGCTGTATTTGCCTTGTCCTGTTGCTAATTGAAACCCACACCTGTGTGCACCGAACGTCAGTATCATTGTTGGAAAAATGTTTCACCACCGCTCACGTTGCAAAAATGTGGGCACTCATTACAAGCTCGCACCTGCGGTGGTCTCTGGTTTTAATCACGAGCCACAGATCTAAGTTGTTTATTTATGAAAACTTTGTAGAATCTAGTTACAGTTATGAGTGCCAACTAAGCCTAGCTCTGGTGTCGCAGTGACAGTTAATGTGATAACCAGCTCCTGTCTAACAAAGACGGAAGGTGGAATCAGGACCCAACTGGGGAAATTCCCGGTGGGCCGATCTGATGTTGTTCTTTGGTTTTTCTGGCCAGTGGGTCTTTGTAAAGACATTTGTTTTTGTTTAACTTGACAGGTGTTAAAGTGTGTTCTTATTTTTTTTCAAGATAACCAAGAAGATGGAGGAAAAGATCAGCTGACTGTACCAAAGGTCCTGCAGTGGTTCACAGGACAGTCTCATCGGCATCTCCTACTGTCAGAAAGACAGCGGTTCAAGATTACAGTCTGTTTTGACCATGACTGTTTTGAGCGCATGCCTAAACATTCATTGTGCTTTCCAGTTGTGAGTGCATGTTCACACACTGTAACTTTTCCAACTGCTCACCTATGCACTTATGAGGAGTTTAAAGTAAACATGGCTACTGCAATTACGTGTGGCAAAGAATTCCACATGATCTAGGAGTGATCTGTGGTGAGTAAGTTGGAATTGCAGCTTTTGTTCCTACATGTGTGTCAGTGTTCTGTTACTCATTTAATATGTTCTATATATTAGCTCTTTACTGTACACTCAAGCTTTAAAAGTAAGTAATGCCATGGTGTTCCAACATGGTGCTTCTGTTTCTCATCTCAATAAACTCAAGATTTCAGTCTCGTGTAACTTCATTGAAAAACATTAATAAATGTGTTAATTAAAATTCTTTAGAAGATGAAAAGAAACAAAGTATGTAGTTAATTTATTGATGTTTCAAATATGCCTACATGTTTATTTATCCTTTTAATAACTTACGCCTTGCAATGACATTTTGCATTTTAGAGTGAGCTGTGAAGCTCAACGTAGTTTACAACAGAGATGTACAGTCCTCGTCCATAATCATCTGATGGTCCATTGGGATTGATGGTGGCTCTGAGGTCTTCAAGACCCTGCTGTGTGAGAGGACATGTCGCAGGTGGGACCACAACACCTGGAAGTTCTTCCCCATCTTCAACAACTGCAGGACATTGCTCAACATCGTGCTGTTCAGAAAGTTAAACCAATATTAGTATTATGATTTCAGTCTGCTCCTGTCACACTCAAAGACCGGTTTCATCTGTTGTGGACAATTTAATTAAATCCAGGGTTAATATAAACCTTGTTTACTAATCCACTTGTTACGCATGTGTTTGGGAAATTTATGTAAATTTTAAAGATGACTAGACTGCTACATGCTTTGACAATGATATCATCTTAGAAATGTTAAAGTTATCAAGCCAACATGTACAAATAACGGGAATCCATACCTGTTGATGTTCTGCTGAGCAGACTGGATTTTGTGCCCGCCCTATCTCCCAGAGTTGGTTTGGTGTCAGGTTCTGCTCTGTTCGGAGAGGATGATTATTCCATCCATGAATGAAGCTGCACAGTTCTAACTGTAGTCGGGGTAGGAACACATAATGGGCAGCAAAAAGGTGTAGATAGCTAGTGGGGTCCAGTGAACCCTCCTCTTCAAGGCTGTGCAACATATGGTAGTATGTGCTTGTGACTGCCATCCACAGGTCCCGCCATAGTCTTTCTATGCTGCAAAGACAGAAAGGAAGAAAAATGGAAAAAAGGAAATATAAGATGAGAATTCTAGTTTTTTTGAAAAACAATTAACCGACCTAGTGAAATACCCTGGGAAAACTAGAGCTATGTGATCATTTCCTCTTTATATCCACAAACACTATGAAGATGTCCATCTCTTATACATATATATATATATATGTATCTCTCTCTCTCTCTCTCATTTATATTTATATATATATATATATATATGTATGTATGTATGTATGTATGTATCTCTCTCTCTCTCATTTATATATATATATATATATATATATATATATAAATGAGAGAGAGAGAGAGAGATACATACATACATACATACATACATTATATATATATATATATATATATATATATATATATATATATATATATGGTTTGGTAAATTGGGTGCTTTAAGAGCTCAACAGATATATTACCTCTACTTATTTACACCATAGAAAAATGATAATGGATATGAAAATGAGGTTTGCTGAGGTTCTGGAAACTATGATGTCATTATTTTGCTGTTGATGTTATTGTCATTGTTGTCATTACTAGTACGATAAAATGTTAATGCAAAATGCTCACATTAGTAGCTGCATATATATATATGTATAAGTATATATTAATATATATAAATATATATATATATTAATATGTATGTATGTAGATACAGATGGTAATTTGTAAAGTAAATTAGTAATGCGAGACAAGTTGGTGGGATTGAATAAGCACTTGCTTCTTCTTACTCCCTTTGGACAAAAACATTTTTATTGGTATATCGTTTCTTTTCTATTTTCTTTTTTTTTTTAATATTGTCTTATGTTCAAAAAATGTTTCAATCAATCAAACTTATGACCAATAAGCTGTAATACTCTATAGAATATCACCCTGCCTGGCCTTTATTATGCTTTAATCAGAAGATTCTAGGATTCTTTTATTAAGGAATTGTATACACTTTGTTTTGATTCAGAAAACAGGGTTATAAAAGTAGGAATTTATTTTACCAACAATTAAAACATGACAAATTAACATTACTGTGAGTGGATGAATCTAAAGTGAATGGAATGTGATGTATGGTGACTATGTGTGAATGAGATTTCAAAACTTCTGTATCTCGGAGAGCTGCGTTCTGTAAAAATAATTTGGTTTGCGTTAAGCTATGAAGTTGATTTTTAAAAACCACATCAGACGCAATCTCGCTGTGTTCTACCTCACCCATTCTGGAGACCCCCATTTGGATCAGAGATGTCAAGGAGCCGATGACCCCAATGCACGTGGTTCGTAAAGAAACCTCGATGCGACCAAATCAGTCCCGAGATGTCTCTGAGTCACCTTGTAGTTATCCTCAATATATCGTGATATTAATTTTAGGTCATATCGCCCAGCTCTAATGCAAACAGTCATGCACTGCTGGTGATAAGCGACCTTGTAGTCACAGTTGCCTCGAGGCGCAATGACATAAGCACGCAGATTATGTATGGTATTCAAACATACCGCTGATTGTGAACACTCTTTCCTGACATGAAACTTCCTCTTCCACATCCACGTACTGTGAACATATATCTTGCAATGTCCACATTTTCTACTCCCTGATCTCCTCGAACCCTAAACACAAAGTAGTGACAATACAACATATAAACAGTTTATTCAATGAAGACTCAAAAGATATTTGTAGTTGCTCCACCCATTTTTACCCATCAAACACAATTCAATACTTATTTTTGACTACCACAAAATGTTAATTTGACATTTTCATTGTGATGGCAAAGTTTCAGGGGATTTTTTTTTACAGTAGCACACCTCACAAATTAGAAGTATTTTCCATTTAGTATTGTTTTTATAATTTTGTTGTTAGGTATTCTAAATATATGACGTAGATCTACATTGATGCTACTGTATTGCTGTTACCACTACTGCCATGTAGTGTGGTCAATCCACAGAGCTCCAAATGAGCTCAGCAGATGCAAAACTTGCATCTTTATTTTTCCCATCCTGTTGGTGCTGAGTTTCCTTTTATCTTCACCAAAATAGCATTTATTGCTTTTATCTTAACATAGACAGATCCATTCCGTATGGACTTTTCAATTGGCATTAAAATATATATAAAAAAAATGGTGATTTCAGTTTTGAAAAATGCAAATCCCTTGTTGACAAAAATTACTTAATGCATAAATAATGCATCAGTGTGCGTAGCATTGAGAGAAAGAGAGTCTCACCGCAAGGGAAGTCCATTCTTCTCAACAGATCCCAAAAACAATCCAAGGGCAGTAGATGCTTTGTTGTCAGTTGAGGCATCCAAGTACATGATCTACATATAACAGAAGTTAAAGACAGGAAGATATTGTTAAAAGAAACCAGAAAACATAAGATAACTTTTCCATGCAATTCCAAAGTCAGTACTTTTATTATCAAGTATGCTCCAAAACACATTCTTACCTTTCTAGAAAAGCCATCTATGCCTCCAAATATGACAAACCCATACCTACAGAACAGGAAATGCTAAAAACAAAGAAATCTTACAATAAAGATGAACAATTTTGATATGTTGAAAACTAACCTTATGAGTTTATGATTTGTATCTACATGAACCAAGGAAAGTGGCGCCTGCACAGTGTAGGATCTCCTGACCACACATCCAACACGTGTGGCTCTGGTCGCCACACCTAAAGCATCTACACGCTTCAACGATGCCCATATCCTTGTCCATGTAATGCGATGACCAAGTGCACGTAGTCTTCCCTTTAGCATCCGCGACCCAATGTTTGGTGCTGTTATCTTAATAGATCCCACAATATCATCCAGTTGGTCATCTGAAATACTGCTGTATGATCTTCTTATAGATATGTCATTTTCACGTAGTGCACGTTTAACTGTTGATTTCGAAATGCCCATAACAGCTGATATGCTTGGGATCGATAGATCCAAATCTACTAAATTCTGCAGACACTCTTTATTGACCATGTATTTCTGTTGGCCTGTAATTCCTTCAACCAACTCTGTGCCTATTGGATGTACAGTCCCTTCTTCAAGTTTTGCAGCCACCACTTCACTGAGGTTGGACAGGGCCATTATCACATCTTGAGGAATGGAAATCTGGTTGGTAAGTGACTGGATGAAAGTCAGCTCATGATTGCAGACAAAATGCAGGAAATGAAGATCCAATGGATGACGACTTGCCTCTTCAACTCTCAGAAGAAGCCTGGCCATAACCTGCTTCTCCAACATTTCCTGTGAGCAACAAGATTATTTCATGTAAAACAGGTTTCACTAGATATTTGTGCTACTTTATTAATGACTAAGTAAATATAAAGTTTGTGACATAAATCTAAAGCAGGGGTGCAAAACCCTGCCATATGGTCCTTATATGGACAGCAGTAGCTCAGGAGGTAGAGCAGGTTGTCCCCTATTTGGAATGTCGCAGGTTCGATCCCGGCTCCGACCAGATAATTCTGCTGTTGTGTCCTTGGGCAAGACACATAACCCACCTTGCTTGCTGGTGGTGGTCAGAGGCGCCGTAAAGCGGTGAAAGATTAGGAAGTTTCTAAGGGCCCACAGCTGTCAGGGGCCCAAAAAAGTTTCAAAGTTGAATAAAAAAAATAAAGTTTAAAAATCACAAGTACTTTATTTTGCAGTATTTTTCTCATTTAAGACATTAAACAAACAATCTTTTAGTCTTTATGAAATTTATATTTATCTGATATTTATTCAGAGGTCCCTACTTTATTTTGACTAATTAATATGAATTAATTTGGTGAGTGGTTAAATTCAACCTGTTAGCTAGCTAGCTCTGATATCCACAGTGAGAGGAACTATGTTCCATCTAATTATGGTAAATGGGTTGTTGTCCTTGTCCCTACCAGAATCAGCAGCTGATATGTCAGCCGGTGTCCCCTCACAACCGAATGAACCTCAGAAGGTGAGCAATGTAGCATGTTAGCTAGCAGCCTCATTTAAGGGGGTCTGTGGGAATCACTTAAGGCTCTCTTCTTTATCAGTACTATTACAAAGGAATATAAAAAGGCTATTTTTGGTGATAAACACATTGTTTTTCCACATAATGATAATTATACATATCAATCAGTAAAAATGTATAGATGGTTTTGGATGCTGGGCAGGTTCAAATTTTATCATCAAATAAGATTTTAGAATAAAAAAAACACATTTTAAGGGAGTAAAAGGGAAAAGGAGATTAACACCTTTCAGCATGTGCATTTCCTGCTTTTTCCAGCAGTGATATTGCTAATTCTGTTGAAGGAAATTTACTGTTTAATGAGAGACAGCTGGTGAAAATGATATGTAAATAAATAAGAATGCAAGTAGACCCACATAATTGAGCAAAACTGAAACATTAATATAAAGTATATATATTATATCTTTTTCTTCCTTCGAATCTGGGAGGGTGGAACCCCAGCTCCGGCAATGGACAAGCCCCCAGGGGGCCCAACTTGATATTTTTTCATGGGGCCAAAAATCTCTGGCAGTCCCCCTGGTCAGAGGGACTGATGACGCCTGTGTTTGGCAGCCTTGCCTTTGTCAGTACGCCCCAGGGCAGCTGTGGCTACATCGTAGCTTATCCCCACCAGTGTGTGAATGGGTGAATGACTGTGTTGTGACGTGCCTTGGGGGTTTGTAGAACCCTATGAAGGCGCTACACAAATACAGACCATTTACCATTTTTTTCATTTAAAATCAACTACCCAGCAACATTTTAATTACATACATCAAGCTCTGCAGACTTCTATTAATCACCTTCTGATTTGTGCAATCAGGAGTGAGCAGGATAACAACTAAAACATGCTGGAAAGTGGATCTCAAGACCAAGGATTGGGGGCAAGTAATCAGAAGCTTGATACAACTTGAATTTGTTAGTGTGCTAAATAGTATATATGCTTCATACTCGGTGGTTAGGCTGACTTTCATATTGCAGATATCTCAGAGAATGTGCGCACATTCAATTTCAAATTAGCTTAATAAAATTGGAGGTGACCTCCCACAGATGGTTAGTGTTTTCAAATTTAGCTAAAGCTAATATGGTTAGCCGCTAACAAGAGTAACTCGCTGCTTAATCAGGCGAAATAAGCTGAAGTAAAACAAAACTCTGAAGTTCATAAACGGTACATGACCACAAAATCAACTTACTGCAGATGAACGTCGGTCATCCATCGCGCCATACACCGCCGCTGGCCAGCTCACACCGCTCCGATGCCGCGTTAACAGCCGCGCCACACTGAACGGCCGGAAATGACGTCAAATCTAGGCGCTTTCACCTGGATGTCAATTATTTTCCATGTAGCCAATGAGCACAAAGCCCGCCCCCTCATAAAATCAGGCTCAGCTTCGTAAACGAAAAAAAAAACTGAACGTAATCGTAAATCTCTGGACTGAATGCAGAGGCGGGGAGCAGAAAGGTAAACTCAGCCGAAACTTGTTTCAGTGTGTTCTCCTTAATTTAAATCTTTTAATTTTTGCTTGCAGTTTTAAGTTTAGTCATATTTTTTTATTTACTTAATTTATTAATTTACAATTTATTTTTCCACACTTACATATTTTAGTTCGAATTTACAAATTCATTTTTAAAATTTCCCATTTTTTGTTGGAATTTACAATTTTTTTTCAAGTTTTGAAATTTCATTAGATTTTACAAATTCATTTTTCGAGTTTTCAATGTTGTTTTTTATTTTTACACTGAGCTGAGCCCATTTTGATGCCATAGCTGTGTCCCCCCCACTTTCAAAAATGCCTGCCGATGAGGATTTTTGTTTTACCAGCTCATATCTTATACCAGGGGTTGGCAACCTATTCCCATCAAAGAGCCATTATTACCCATTTCCCACAGTAATTCTGGATGGACCTTAATAAGCAGTGACTTAAGTGAAGCAGGCAGGTCGCGCTAGAAAACTTAGTTTAAAAAGACGTCATAAATGTGTTCCCCCGTCATTTTTATTTCTAAAATATGAAGTAAAAACTCACAATTTAATTTTCATTCATTTGTCATTAATATTTAGTCTACACCTGTGCGTTAAGTGGACCATCTTCCAGTAAACGCAAAGCATCCAGTCCACCTCTCCAAATGCGTAAAATGTGCATCAGCCGCTAGTTAGGCGCGCCATCAGCTGATCAGCCCAGACAAGAGCAGAGCAAATAGAGAAAGAATAGAGGATGATTCTGTCTGGATGTGGATGGAGATTACATTTTACAGCAGCCTGATCATCATTTAAATACGTAAACTATCACCTGGCTTCCAGTCCATGCTATCAGCATTATTTTAATTGGTGTGTGTGTGTGTGTGTGTGTGTGTGTTTTCCACTTCAAACACTGGTCTAACCAACCAGACCAGCGTGTCCAGTAACATATTAATGTTACAATTAAACAGTTTGACTTCATGTAGGCTAGGAACATTCCACCTGCCGTGGCCCGACCGCTTCTGCTCCACATAAACTTTGTGCGTGATCAAATGTCTCTACGCGTCATGCGTCTCCATATTAGAGACGGGAACAAGCGCTGTTCAGCCAAAGTTTCATAATTTCATAAAAAGAACATTTTTCCAAGTGACACATCCCTCAGAGAGACCGGGTTTCCAGAACGCTTCAGTGGGAGGAAATCTTATCGCATTTATCCGTCAATATGTGGCAAGGTGGAAAAACGAGGGCCCGGGCGTGATTTGATCCCCAGACTCCCGGGTGAGAGTCATACCCTCTAACCAGTCAGCCAAAGGGACATCCCCTTGGCCAAGTAGCCAGGGCGCATTATCTATCGGGACACTGTGACAGGACACTCACACTGCCACACCTGATTATGAAACTTTGGCTGAATAGTGCTTGTTCCTGTCTCCAATGTGGCGACACATCCAGGAACCTGTCTGAGGAGAAGCCCAGAATCTGACATCCTCCAGCTCAGAAGCGCCGATATGATTACGCACAAGCGTGACGCGTCAACCCGGTCTCACAGTAAGACCGGGTTGGACCTGTTCAGGTTTACGCAGACAATCTTTACATTTAGAATTGGCATACAGATGTAAAATTAATGCAGTAACATATAAAGCATTTTATTTAAACATCCATTCATTATTTTAAGAGCACAGAAAGCCGCATCAGAAGGATGGAAGAGCCGCATGCGGCTCCAGAGCCGCCGACCCCTTTGCTAGCCTACTTTATTGTCCCCAGCAATTTTTAAACCCCACTCAAGTGTATGGTTATTGTCCCCAGCAATTCTGGAAACAAACTGACGCCCTTGCTGAGATGAGATGCATCCTGCTCTAATTTTTCCTTCACCTCCTTAAAAATGACTAAAATGAGAATCACCAGTTTAAAATCTGGGGGCTGCTAGTATCAGATATTTCTGTTCTATCATTTCTCTGGTTTGAGATTCACGAATTTCAGGAAATCTTTGGCGCTAATGATGCCGTTATTGTCCTCTCTAACACAAATGTTGGCTTCCAGCTGCTGTAGAAGTGAAAATAAACACAATGCAACAAATCCCACATCCCAGCTGTTAGCAGCGTGGTGCAGGTCAGTTTTAAATGATTCTTTTATTCACAATGCCAGTTTTGTTCAGCTTGAGCAGAATAACGATAAACTCTTCACCGTCAGGACAATGGAAAAGTTTAAGAAACTAATTGATTGTGTTTTTTATGTTTGATTTGAACACAACAGAATTTGTTTTCTTTACTCCAAGTTAAATATGTTGTGTGAAATCAGAGGAAAGTGTTGTGTTTTGATGCCTGTAACAAAAATACCAGACAGGAAAGATTTGTCGAGAAGCTTTTCATGTTTAAAATGCAACACACGTCAAATCACATTTCATTTCTCTGTCTTTATGTCAGCAAATGACAAATTGCTCATTTCTATAATTCCATTGTTCCGCTCTTCAGACATGCTGATGCTAATTGTTGGTGATTTATGTAATCCCACTGCTGTATTTACTCTTCTCAGTACCTCTAATTCTCTTTCCATTAATCTGGCTGTAACTGAACATGTCAAGAGCCACATTTATTACTTAGGCTTGTGTTTAGGTGCTTAAACAAGATGTTTAAGGGCAGCAGTAGCTCAGTAGGTAGAACGGGTTGTCCAGTAATCAGAGGGTTGTAGGATTGATACCGGCTCCCACCAGGGAATGCTGTTGTGTCCTTGGGCAAGGCATTTAACCCGCTTTTTACACTGGTGGTGGTCAGAGGCAGCGGTGGCACCAGTGTTCTGCAGCCTTGCTTCGTCAGTGCGCCTCAGGGCTGCTGTGGCTACATTGTAGATCATCCCAACCAGGGTGTGGACGTGTGTGAGAATGAGTGGATGACTGATTGTGTTGTGAAGCACCTTGTGGGGGGGGGGGGGGGTTGTAGAACCTCAAGAAGGCATGTTACAAGCATATACAGGCCATTTACCATGTTAAATCTCTATTTGAAGCAGGTTAAGTGCTAAAAGGATGTAATTTGATATGCTCAGGATCTAAGGACTTATTGTTTGACTGAGATTATGAAATAATAATTAAACAACATATGTATTTTACAAATAAAATAGTAGAGGGATTCAAAAAATGAGCAAAGGTGTCATTATTTGGTGATCAGATCATTTTTAATCACGGCTTTTGCTAACCACACACAGTTACTCCATTACAAACTCTGACAAGGTGCATTTAAACTTTTTTTTCATCCTTAGTCCAGTTGATCAACAGAAAACTGTTTCCTGGAACAAAAAAATAAATAAAACTCTACTTTAAATACAAGCTTCAAATGCTTCCACATTCTTCTGTGCAGAGCTGAAAGATGTCACTGCTTCTTTTCCAGGAGGACAGATCGGCTCGTCGGGCTCTTTAATGTGCAGTTCACACACCGAGAAAGGACCTGTTCTTTCGGGCGTCATCTCTGCTTTCAGCACTTTTTCTTCTGAGCTTGTAAACAAACGCGTCCGTGCCTCTTCCATACTAACATTTTCCACCTGAAGAAGAAGAGAATACAGGACATGCACTGCCTGGTCAATTATACTTATGTTAAAATGCACCAAGGGGAAGTATACGATATAAATATAAGAGGATTCTTGTACAGTTGGTTATCTTGGGCTGTGTGCAGGATAAGTGTTCACTGACGTCTGAGGCAAGAAAATTAGGCAGATTTTTACCACAATGGCTCTAAAAGTAATTTTATCAGATATTCCTGTCGTGTGTGGTGTGTCAGGACCACTCTGGTCTGCTCGGGAGGATGTCAGAACCGCTCCAATAAAAAATCAAAGCTATTAAATTAATGTTTTGGTTTGTTTTAAAGATAAAGTACATTGCATGCTCCTCCCCACCATGTTTGTTTACGCCAAAGTTATGTTTGATCTTCAGATATTTAGCAAGATTTCCCATCTGAACGGAGGGAAATTTGCTAATTGCAGTATTGTAGGTGAAGGTCCTACCTTGAGGCAAAATAGTGCCATTTGTAAGTATTTCATATATTTTGAAACCAGGTAAGGCACAAGTGTGTTTAGCCATATGTAATCTGCTTTTAAGTAGACCTAAACCTGTGATTTAAATATATTCGCCTGTCACGATATGAGGAGGTTAGGACCCAAATATGCAGTAACCCAGGATGACACGAGGCAGGAGATGATGAAAAGTAAATCCTTTATTTTGGAAGGAGGAAACAAAAATAAATCCAGGCAGCGAGCCCAAAGTCCAAAACTACAGAAGCTGAGAAACAAAGCTCACCAAGCGCACAAACGAACGCTGAGCCTAAAATCCAAAACTCCACGGCTGGAGAACACAAGCTCACCAAGAGCATGAGCAAACACCGACAGAATACAAATACAATGGACCGACACAAGACAGACACAAGACAAAGACAAGACAGGGCTTAAATAGACTGGGAGACCAATCAAGGAAACAGGAAGCAGGTGTGTGGAGTGAGGGCTGGAGGGAAGGCAGGTGACAATAATCATCTCAATGGGAAAAACAGAAACAGAGGAGGGCAAATACCTAAACACAAAACTAAACAACAATTACCTAAAGACAGGGGGAAGGGCTCACACAAACTAGCTGGAGGAGGACATAGCACATAAACCCACACACACATAACCACACACACTGAGCTGGGGACAAAGAGGCTGGAGCTGACCTGGGAGGAAAGAGTAGAAAGGTAACAACATAAGACACTAAACTGACACGCAGACAAAGGACACATGAGGGCACCAAAGGGCTACAACATAAGACACATAACAGGGACGCAGACAAGGACACATGAGGGCACCAAAGGGCTACAACATAAGACACATAACAGGGACGCAGACAAGGACACATGAGGGCGCTAAGAGAGCACAAAGGGAGAACCTTGGGTGGAGCACAAGAGGAGCTGGGGAACAAAGGGACACAAAAGGGAATCTAGAGAGGGATAGAGGACACCAGGAGGCACAAAAAAGGAAGGGGCCGATGCAGCCCATGGCATCGCCGTGGTCTCCAGTATAAATAAATGCCTCGGGAGTCGTTCTCTGAACGGGAAAAGCGCTGGCGCTCCGGTTTCAAGAAGTAGAAATTAGTCGGAGGAAAGGGGAGCAGAAAACGTTTGTTATGTGCCGTGGATTTCACATGTGATGTCTGCAAATGTTAAAGACACATTGTGAAGCCTAGAAAGTGTTTATTTTCAAATGAGGACAAAAGTTATTTTAGGTTTTATGTGAAAATACGTCCCGGACTACAACCGCACATCACCAAAGAGTGACCACAGCTAGCCCCAGCTGCCTCAACAATCGCAGAGCGGAACAAGGCCTATTTGGACTCAATGCCCCCAACTGCTCTGGGGGTGTGGTCAAAGCTCTGCTGGAGGTGGGAGTTGAAGACCATCTTCACAGCATCTTGAGGTGTTCTCAACAGACCCTCACTATACGTTTGGGCCTGCCAGGTCTGCACGGCATCTTCCCCTGCCATCTGATCCAGCTCATCACCAGGCGGTGATCAGTTGACAGCTCTGCTCTTCCCTCGAGTGTGCAAAACATACGGCCACAAGTCAGATGATACAACTAAGTCAATCATCGAACTGCGACCTACTGTAGGGCGCCCTGGTACCATGAACACTGATGAGTACGTTCATACGTGTTTCTTATGGCCAAACTGAGACTTGCGCAGAAGTCCAATAACCAACCCCCACTCATGTTCAAATTGGGCGGGCTGTTCTTCCCAATCAAGACCCTCCAGCTCACACTGTCATTGTCTGCACGAACATTGAAGTCCCCCATCAGGACAATGGAATCCCCAGTCGAAGCACAGTCTAGATCTCGTTTCAGGGACTTCAAAAATGGTGGGTACTCTGCACTGGTGCGTAAGCACCTGTTTCCTGACCCAAAGACGCAGCGAAGCTACCCGCTTGTCCCCCAGGGTAAATCCCAACAAACAGGCTGAGAGTTTTGGGGCTAAAAGAAAGAAAACAAAGCTTTTGTTATTATTATTGTTGTTATTATTATAAATGTCTTTTTTCTTTAACATAAGAAGAAACTCTTGCTTTTGAAAAAGAATAAAAAGAACCGTCACGTCTGTAATTAAAGGAGCTTTATGAGGAGGCAACATGGGTAAATTGTTGTGATTTCTTGTTGCATCAGTTGCAAAAGGACCTTTTAAATATGTTAATGAAAGACGCTTAGCTTTCGTTCACAACTCCTAAAAGCTTGAGTTATTTGCAGATTTGTTGTTCACATCTCCACCAGTGGTGTTCCCACTTATTTTCACAGAAGCCATGTAATTTTGAAAACTTCACCACAGTAGCCTGGCAAGCCAGACTAAATAAATGTATTATTTAGTCTTGCAACGCTCCATTGACGACTCTCGGTTGTGGGGCGGGTTCTACCGTTGTCTTTCAAATGATCTCCGCATACTACTGGACAATGAATGTGACATACTCTTGTTTCACTCTGTTGCATCATCCCACCCACCAGGCATATAGAGTGCCCTGATTGGCCCACAAAGCAGATAAAGCTCTGTGATTTGTTCACTAAGCAGATAGAGCACTATGATTGGCCCACCATTATGGACCAATCACAGCTCTTTATGTGTTTGAAACCCCTCTAGAGAGCTGTGATTGGCCAGCATGCTGTTGGGGCTGCAGAGGTTCCAGTGGAGCATGCCTAGACCAAACTTTGCAAAGCAAGAATTTGGTCTAGTTCACTAGGCTATCACCACAGAGCATCCAGTGACAAGCAGCAAATGTTTAGATGTGCAGACTTAAAGAAGTAAGAGGATCTTTGAGCATAACGCCAGCTTTAGTGTCTGACTGAATTTTCATTTCTGTTCTTTGTTTTCACTTAAAGAAACTGCAGTCCTATTAAGTCATCATCAAATTTCATAACTTGCTCACACATTTTAAAAGTTTCATCAGTTCCTTGGTTTGTGCCTTGAGATGAGCAAACAGCTTTTGAAGCATTACAATAAATTCATTTAACATGAGCTCACAGTGATTGCAGATGGCTGTGTGCTATAAATAAAAGATGTTAGATTAATTACAAACAGCTGGATAAGTAGCATACAGGCGGCTTTGTCATAATGAAGAGCAGAACGGATAAAAACTCCTCAAAGTCTCACACCGTCTGCATGTTATGAAGTTCATCATGATACTAATTATCAAGCAAAATGTTCTAAAGCTTATTTAAAAAAAGAATAGACCAGCAGTATTGGAAGTGTTGCTATTGTTTGTTTCTCGTGAGATGATTGCCTGCCTTTCATGTGAGCAATCAATCATTTTAGCGTCAAAAGTGTCGAGAAGAAGGATGACTAAATCCTCTTTTTTCCAAAAACATGTCATTTCTGGGACGGGCACATGATTGCATCTCATGTTGAGTTTTCTCAAAGAATCATTTAATCTCTTCTTTATTCTGGTTGGTAAACTTTACCAGTGTGTGTGTGTGTGTGTGTGTGTGCATGTGTGTGTGTGCGTGATTGTTTGTCTCTGTGTTGCCCTGCGATGGACTGGCTCTCTGTCCAGGGTGTACCCCGCCTGATTGCCCATTGACCGCTGGAGATAGGCGCCAGCCTCTACAGGTCATTTTGTGTTTGCTTTGTTTAATTTTTTAATTTTTCAACCTGATCTATTTATGTTTTCGTTTAAAAAAAAATTCCAAGTGATCCTGAACATGTTAGTTGTTTATCAGCAGCACGTTCCCATGGTGACCCTAACATACATGCAAACAATCACCTGGCTCAGTTCAACTACAACTTTTGGACAGCATCAGGAAGCTGTTAAAGAACCACAGATCATGTTTTAAACTTTAAACTAGAGCTTTAATACTGATCTCGGTGATTGTTGGGTCGGAAACCTGACCACTTTCATATTTGACAACACTCTGCAGGCCGCTGCTGACCAAAAACCACAATAGATAGACTTGTGGAGCAGGTAGGTGTTCTAGGGGGTGCACTATACTTGCTTTAAGGCTGTTAGCTGTAACACTAGCAGTTAGCTTTTTCAGTTCACCAATCATCAATAAAAAGCGCAAGAAGAAGTTTGCTGTTTCAGCTAGCACCATGGCGGAGCCTGGAAGTAAAAGTAATGTCTTTGGAGGGGAGGCAAAAAGCAAAAACAAAGTGAACATCGACACGGCCTACACTAGTTTGAAGGGGCTAAAGTAGGCTACAAAATCATGGAGTGATGGTGACCTGGCTTTGTTGTTACTGGACTTGTAAGTTGTTGTTTTTTTGTTTTTTGTCTCTTTTTTTTTTGTCCAACAGTCTGGATCTTTTTACTTTGTGGTTTATTTTAATAATAGTTGGCTCATGTTAGTGTTAGCCTATTGTTAGCGCTAGCTACAGCAGGGTTGTTTATGACAGTGTTTTTCCACTTTCAACCAGTAGGGTGGAGGAGAAGGAAACTGCTCACAGATACCCTAACTCACAGTGTTGGAGTATCACACTACCATGATGCAGATAAATGATAAATGATAAATGACCCGCACTTGTATAGCGCCTCTCAGAGGAAGGACTCCAAAGCACTTTACACTACAGTGTATCATTCATCCATTCACACACATTCACACACTGATGGTGATGAGCTACGATGTAGCCACAGCTGCCCTGGGACGCACTGACAGAGGCGAGGAAGGTGATGATGTAGCAGAGCCTACATCCAGGGGTGGACTGGCCTATCTGGTATTCTGGCACTGTCCCAGTGGGCCGCTTAGCCAAGTGGGGAGCTTGCCCAGTCCCGCTCTCACATTCGGTGGCATAGAGACAAGTCAGCGAGCAGCAGTGCTGGATAAATTATTATAAAATAAGGATTTACCCTTATTGTGCACCCATTGTTAAAATGTTCTTAGTGATTTATTGATCACTAAAAAAAGGGATTTTTACAAAGATAAAATCAGTTTCCTTCCGATCATCAACAATCTGGCTTTCCAGTTTCAATCATCTGATGAGAAGGTTGGAAACAACAAGACAGAAACTGAACAACTTGTGAGAGAAAAAAGGACCCATCCTCTATCTCTAAACGCTAGCTGATTTATCTAGAACAAACAAAGGGAAAGAGCCGATAAGACACAGCTGAGGAGGATCAAAATCCCTGAATGACAGTATCCCCTTTCTGTCAGTTGGAATGAAAACAAGTGTCTCTGACTGGAAAATGACATGTCAAGACAAACAGTCACCTAGATGCTTGGAAGGGACATTGGAGAAGTACATTTGTTGATGCAGCCGCATCTGTGATAATGCTCCTCTTTGGGGGTAGGATTTCATTTCGTTTGAGTCTTCTTGACAAAGCTGACATCATAATTTGGTCACAAAACAATGCAATGATGATTTAAACGTGTAGCTTTATTAAAATCACTTCCTTTGACCTAGAATATTTGTATTTAAACTCTAGGAGACGATTTCATGATTTGTCACTCAGATTTTCCATCTCTCTCTTCTCTCGTTCTCTACCTTTCAGTCTACCTTAAAATGTCCTGTTTTGCCACGTAAGCCCTTCACCTCACACTCGACCTTCTTTCTGCTCATAAAACCTGTCAGTTTGAAAATCTCAGCCAATAGAGAGCCAGATATGACTCTGACATTTACCCCTCCTTGCAGGAGCAATTATTTCAACCCAGTTAAAGATTAAACCAATACTGAGCAGAAATAGAAGGTGAAGACACGCTACTAACCATCTGTGGAGAAGGTGCAACGGTTCAGTGCTTCAGTTTTCACCTTCTTCTTGTTTGGCATAAGGAAGATGGATTTGATTTATTGTTTTTGGCATGCTGCTGCAGTGGGTGGCAGTGGTGCATTGCAGTAAAAAGGTTGCAGGTTCAAATCTCAGACATATTTCTGCGTGGAGTTTGCATGTTCTCCATTATGCATGCTGCTTTTTATTTATTTTTTGTTGCATTTATGGTTATGCAGCAATATATTTAGATTTTATTTTTGTTTATTTTAATGTTTCTAAGAAAATCATTTTTTAAATGAGTAAATTACTGGTAAAATTTTGAAAAATTTTTGTATCAAAATAAAGTTTCTTGGTTTTTTATCATTTTTATTACAATTATTATTTGTCTTTATTTCTCTATGGGAAACAAAAAAAAAATGAAAACAGCCAGACGAATTCAACCTTCCCACCTTTTCCTTGTTAGTCGTCCTCGGCTTTAAAAGTTGCCATGAAAGCTTTGAATAAAATTCCTTTTCCTCCTTCACCGTGAGTCTGGGAATGGCCGTCATCGGGCGAATGAGCCCAGGTTTCCCCTAAGCAAGAACAGTTTGACCACAAAAATTGGGTCATTCTCAAAAAAGGCTTTCAAAGACACACAATCAGCTTCATGACAGCTGCAGCAGAAGTGTGATTAGACAAAAGAACACGTACCTTTTTATGACCCGTTAGTTTTTTATCCTTATTGGCTGACAGGTGCAAGCTGCCCAAAGATGCCTGAACAAAGAAAAAGCATCAAAGGCTGCTTTCAAATACCAACAGGAGAAATCATATGAAGGGTGCATAAAATGTCAGATTTCAAGAAAAAAAACTATTTATTTTTCTTTTTGTGGATATTTTTGTTTAAAAGAATACAATTTATTAAAATGTAAAAATAAAATACATTGTTTATTTTATGTTCTCCTGTCTGGATGAAATTTGTAATCAAATAATGAAAGTAGATGAAAACCTACAAACTCACATATTTGGTTTCACGTCCCAAAGATTTTGACAATGAAGAGTCTAGCTGAAAGAGAAAGAAATATAAAAAATAAACTAAAAACATGTGTTGTACAAAGGAAATAAACACTTAAAATAAAAGACAATATTTCCAAAGAGACAAATGATAAAAGAAAACAGAGAAAAGAAATCCTTGATGAAAAAAACCCCATGAAGGATTTGGGCCAAATTAATTGCTCTTGTTGTTCTGTATCTCTTATCGTTTAATATTTCTACTGGTTGATCTGTTTGGATCGGTTTTCCTCATTATTGATTGAAATGCAAACATTTTCATCACCCAGCTCTTGCACCTGGAGCAGATTCAAAAGCACGGCCATACATCTTGGAGGAGACTTTGAACCGCTCTTGTTTTCTCTGAAAACTGCATGAAAGCATCTCTTTTGATGAAAATTTTACAAACGCCTCATGCTTTTCTGTGCTGATTCTTCTAAGGATTTGTTTAGAAGAAATTCACAGTTTGCAAAAGCAACAAGTGGCAGAATTTACATAAATGAAATATTTTCCTCATTTATCTATGAGGTTTTAACTTTAGGACTAAAACCTTGACCCAGACTTCATCCTAAGGTAACATCTCTATAAATTTGTATTTCTAAACTGTTTGAAGCCAAATGTCTTACCTGGAAACCAGCTTTAGTCGATGACTTGAAGGTCTTCTGTAATTTTAAAGGATGTAGGAACGTTACATTAATTACAATAAATCACATCTAACAATACAAATCAATAATATTCTATCAACGCTTCTGATGAAAGAAAAATGAACCCACTTCTGGATTGGAGTTTGCCAGTATCTCATCAATCACCGCGTAAAGCTCCTCTGACTTTTGCCGGAGTTCAGCAGGTGAGCACATCTACAGGAAGAGGAAAACTTTTATTTTGAAGCCTTCATATGAAAAACCAGCAGTGATGTGTGCAGCAGAACCTCTGCGTGTGTGTCCGTTTCAGGTATGTCCAGGCTCTTCCTCTGGTTCTGCTCATTCTCCACCTGCTCATCAATCGCCTGTGAGGGACACACACACACACACACACATACACACACAAAACGATCAAACTCATCTGTTTCTGTCGGTCAGAGCGTTCTTCAATTCAGACTCACTCTACTTCAATTAAATATTAAATCAGCGTGGAGTGTTTTTAGTTTTCTTTAAGTTGGGTTTGACTTTTAAAAGCATCATCATCTAACAAATGTGCTATTTAAGTATTTAACACATCTATGGAAGCCCTGAAGGGCCAGCTAAAACTTCAAGGCAGTTTTTTTTTTCATACGTTTTACCAACAAGATTTTTTCTTGACTTTATGACTTTTTACCAGCAGGAATTCTCAGATGGGGAAAAAGTGAATAATGAGGGGAAATTATTTAATATGAAAAGCCAAAATGTAGAAACGGATGTCTTAAAGGGTCAAATTTACTCCTAAAGGTGTGGAACAATGTATTTAATTTAGGATTTGAAAAACCTGACAGACCTACGCTGTCACTTAAAATTCACGGGCCCAATCCCAATACTCCCACTTCCTCACTTGCGCCCTTCAAATGCACGATCCCGACCAGGGGTGCGAGTGAGTAGGGTGTCCTGATTCTCAAGTGCGGCGGTTGATCACACCCCTTTTGCACCCTTGATCCGCACTTCACCCAAGTCTGCATCGATGCAGACTTGGGTGAAGTGTATTACCCACCATCCATCGCTGCGGGTGAAAAGGTTCAAGTTCCTTATCTGAAAATATGTATTTTCTCATGAAAGTAGTTCATTTTAGGACGATTAGTTGATGCTCTGAAACTTTTAGGCAAAACAGCAATTAATGTCAATTTATTTTGAATAATTGTTTGGTTGTTTTGGTTGTTTATTTGAACGTTGTTAGTAAAGGTATTTTAAAAATCATATCACAGCCAGCACCTAGCATCCCAGCATGTGTTGCGGTCGATTACGCAATGCTCAGTTCACCACATGGCAGAACTTCTTCGGATGAGTGTTCCACACCTTTAATACATTTACGACGTTGTCGCCCTCGGCTGCCCACAGATAAACAGAGAAGGAAGTGACGCCACCAACAGCATCACAGCTCTGAGGATGGCAACAGGAAGTAGCTGAAACATTAGCGTACAAGGTAAAGAACAACTTTTCTTTTCTGTGTTTAAAAGGAACCAAGAAATACAAGTTTTTCTGTCTATTTTCTATCAGTGGGTATTGAAGGAGATAGCGGTAGAGGACTTTTTCACATTCAGCCCGAATTGTTAAACTCAGAGTGACCGGTCATTTTAAAAAATATGTCAAAAATGGTTTCTCAGTGAAGCTGTCCTTTAAATGTCTAAATAGTACTTTTTTTTAAGTACCAGTAAAATGAAAAAAATCAGGCAATATGGTGTTTAAAGCGGATAAAATATGTATGTCTAACTAAAACACCTAGTTCTTTAATTTAGCAGGGGAATTAAATGTAAATTTGGTTAAATGTGGTAGAAGACTTTTTACTTAAATAAAATAAATCATGTATTCATTTCTTCTTTTCTTCTTCTTTCCACTGAGTTCTTGAGAGCTGTCTGAGAGCATCAGGAAGCCCACTGTCAAAGAAACTTAACAGTCCAAATGCTTCAAGGACTGAGATGCTGAGTAGAGACTTGATGAGAAAAGTTATGGTGGTGATTGTTCAACAAGCACCACAAAAATATAGAAATAGCTCCAGGGTGACTCTGGGCAGATTTAAGTATCGGTTCTCCACCCAAACCACACGCAGCACATGATCGAGGGCTCAAAAGGGACACAACTATTGAAAAAACTTGGGGAAATAGAAACACTTTCTCACTATATTGAAACTAAAGTAAGTGTTTAAGGAGGAAATAATTTTTAATTACTGTAAATGAAGCCTACATCTAAAACAAAAACCCTTGCTCCTAAAACCCTTTCAACATTTTAATTCAACTAACTGCCTCTCTGCAGGCACCAAGACAATTTTCCTGATCAACCCGCTCACAAGTTTTCCTCCAGCTTCACACAATCTGTGGCCGTCAAACAAGGGAACCGGATAAAATTGCTGGATCAAAGCTAAACGTGCACACTCACTTGCTGATCCAACAGTAGGGTGTTTGTGGGAATCGCAGCCAGCGATTTGTAGCTCAACTTGATCTTGTGCGTCTGGTGTTTAAGGGGAAAGGGAGAAAAAACACACGGTTAATTAAAACTAATTGCTAATCAAAGTTTTGCTGTTTACCAAAGAATACCAGAGCTGAATGACTTGACTTTACTTCTGAGGAGCGTTATCTGACTATGCTGGAATCTGCCAATAATGCAGAGCAGCTCAGCACACATCAGATGCCCTGCAGTCCAAACAGTTCTGAAGCATCTTGAGATTCTTTCACAGCGCCAAAGGCTGTTTTACTTTGCTGATGGGTTTAAATGTAAACAAAGTTGGACTAAAATGATCTCTTGCTACTCACATTACCATGTTTGTTCTAAGTTAATTGAAATTCTTAAGAAGAGGGTTCAGAGTTGTGTGCAGCATTGCTCAACTTCTGCCTTAACCCTGACTGTCCACTGGATGAGTGAGCGGTGCGTAACGTGATAGACTCGCTGACCTGCGAGCTCTCTTTCCACCGGGAGCATTTCAGACACGCAACGTCACAAAATCACCAGAGAACTGCAGAACCGAGCGTGATTTGGGCAGTCTGCGTGATAACAAGCAAGGAGAAAGATGGCAACAAGAATCCATGTTCATGTCTGCTTTCTGTTCTTCAAAGGTAATGAGGGATGTTTTTAAGTGAAGCAACTGGAAATTTGCTCTTGACTTTTATTTAGAATGTTTCCAGATGTTTTTGTGTTCAACTTCCTGTCTGGCCTGATCTGAACTTCTGGGCTTTGGAAGACTGAAAGCGTTGTGTTCCGACGGTTTTGGGACGCATTCAAAACATAACGCTTTGCGGTCGGTGGAAATGCACTCATCACCAAATGTGACAGATCATTTGCTGCTGCGGCCCCCAGACTCTGGAACTCTCTCCTCCTGAACCTGAGATCAGTGGACTCAGTGGTCTCCTTTAAAAAGCAGCTGAAAACTCACCTGTTCAGGCTGGTTTTGGTGTGACCTTCATCACCACCATCTCCTCATTCTGCTCTTTCTACTGATTCCACCTTTCCTTATTCATTTTCTCTCCTTTTCCTTAGATGTTTTTTAATCACAATCTAATTTATTTTCTCAATTTTAGCAAAATTTTAATTATTTTTTAAAATCTTTTTTATACTTTAATTGTTTGTTGTTGTTTTTTTTTGTTTATGTGAAGCACCTCGTGATTTTATCTCAAGAGGCGCTGTATAAAAGATCGTTTTCTTTCTTTCGCTAATGGCGGCTAGCCGATTAGAACAACGTTTTGCACATTACGTATGCATCTGGTGGAAAGGTCCAGTTAGTAATGCATCCTTACGCTTTAGGGACGCAACCAAAACATGACAGTTTGGAAACACACCTATCCACTATCCAACACAGGCTAACTGATGTGTTCAGCATTTTGCAGATGGTACATGACACTTGAGTGTCCAGTGGAAAGGCCTGATTTGTTCAAAGCTTGTTTTAATTTCAAGATTTGTACCTTGTGAAATTATGTAAATACCTGCTAATCCTCAATCTGCAAAAGACAAGTAAAAAAGGGGGAACTTGTTGGAAGACAATACCTTTCTTTTTTTGACCTCCCAGTCACTGCAGTCTGAAATTCCACTCCCTGGCCTTGGGGAAGGCGTGGAGCGCAGGGACAAGGAAGGAGACGGTGTGAAGTCTCTGATTGGTGGAGCAGGAGAGGGCGTAGGTGTGGGTGAGGCGGAGGGCGACGACCATCCAGAAAGTACGATGGGTTTGTAGCGAGATGGAGACAGGTGAGTTTTGTGAAAGGCCTGTGAAGGCGTAACGCCTCTGGGAACAGAGCCGAACCGCTCCGACTCACTTCCTCCGACCTTGGTGTTCTGTTTTAAACAGGGGAGGGGGGGCGCCGTGTTCGGGCGAACAGGGGAAGGGGTGAGGCGTGACTGGGAAGGCTGAAGTTGAGGAGAGGAGATGGGTGGAGATCTTAGCTGCTGGGAAAGCATCTGGAGCTTTGAGAGGGAGGAATTTGGTCGACGAGTTTCAGGATCTTTGATGTGTTTAAAAGCTGGAGAGACGAGGTTTTTATTGTGGTCCTTGGGGCAGGGGTAGCTTGCATGCAGCTTGGGGTTTGGTGACGACGCTGAAGATGGCTTTTCATGTCTTGGTGAAGAAACTGTTTTGATGTTTGAGAACTGAGGATGCTGAGGAAGCATGCTGCTCGTCACTGATGGAGGTGAAAGCGCTTCCTTCTGTCTGAGGTCGCCGCTTGAGCAAATATGCTTAGAGCATCCTTTCAGCTGAGTTTGAGGATCTATTCTGTTGCAAACAATGGACTTCATCGCTGGAGGAGCTGTGATGCTCCTGTTGGGCTCTCTCCATTTGTTGTTTTGACTGTCTATAGATGTAGTGGAGGAGAACGGAGAAGACAACTCAAGGGGAATAGAGGCTACACTGGAGGCAGCTGAACAAGCATTACAGAAGGATAAAGTCACAGGATTCACAGGCCAGCAGGGGGTGTAAGGCCTCTGCAGTGCTGAAGACAGGACAGGAAGACGGCCCTTCCTGAGGATGGCAGTAAGGAGGGACAACCTGGTGAGAGGAGGCCGGTGCCTCATAGGCGGCGTCTGCGGACAGGCAGATGACAGGCTGTCACAGGAAGAGGAACAGGTCTGAGAGATGTTAACCAAACTGGAGCCAGGAGCCAGAACGTGCTTCTTAATCTGAACTACGGCAGGGGAGAAGACTCCGGAACGGATAGACGAGCAGGGAGAAACAGTACGGCTGAGAGACGTGGGAGAAGTTACAGAGGAGAGCCACATTCCCGACCAACTCCGGTCTTTATCCATTCCCTCTGAGAGGATGGACTCCCTGGATGAAGCCGGGGTGGGGAACAGGTCTATGGAGCTGGTGGGGCTCGCTCTGTCTTCTGTCAGAGACGCTCTGTTTGCAAAGCAACCCAAGCTATCTTCAGAATGTCCAGAGGTATCATGACACCATTGCTGCTGGGAAATGTCCCGGTGTTTATTGGCGGCTGTTTCCTTGGGGACCGTCACCATGGCGGCGTGGTAGGGTGTATTTTCAGACTGAGGGCTGTCTAAAGAAGGATCCCTGTTTTGAGCTGGGCTCGTAGTACCCTCTTTCTGGGGGGAAAGGAAGTTTTATGTTACTTTTCTGTTTGGAAAAAATAAAAATATATAAGAAATAAAACTGGAGATTACAGATTATTGCTTTGATTCAAGAAACTCATAAGAGAAAACCTTTATTAAATCCACGCACACATGTTTAAACCGTTAATGGAACCTGTTGCACTCACCAAGTCGCAGCAAGAGCGTTTTTCGTGTACTCACTTGAGGTTTTGCTTCCAGTTGGATTATTTTTGCCCTTTCTGCTTCCACAAAGTCTCGGATAAAAACCATCTCTGCTTTGAAAATGTCCTCTTCTGACATGGCTTCCCCGGGTGTCCTCTCGTGGGACACGGCTGCGTTCTGACAGGAGAGACGGGAAAAATAAAGTGTTTAGAAAGGAACCCGAGCAAAGCAGAGCTGAACTTCAGGGTGGTTCTCTGATCTGCAGGGGCTGAGCTGGGTTTCACCACACCACATGCCTCCCCACTCGTATTATTCACATGCACGTCCACATGTCCCGCTGACATTTACATAGTGCACGCCGAATCTTCAGCACTGACCCAGTTGTGTACCCCGTCATCTGTGACCCCGTCACAGATGACTTACAAGCATCAAAATAAGAGCATGACTGAATTAAAATCTTTTTTGCAGCTTCACTGTTTAATCATCAGTCAATATTATCTGAAATTTATTATCCACGTGAAGCATTTGCAGGATGTTGATTGGCACTTCTTTCAAAACTTTATCACAGTGTTCATTTTGTTCAAGTTAGCAACTATTTTTTATTGAAACTTGCTAAATCTGCTGTGGTGCATTTTTTAGCAGCTTTAGTATCAACTAGAAGCAGTGGTGCTCCCAGAAAATGTTCATAGGGGGGCAGTGAAAAGCTTAGGAGGCACACCAAATTGTTTGCTGATGGCCTAGACCAGTGGTCCCCATCCTTTTTTCATGAGGACCCCCTTTCCTGTGTCGAAAACCAGCCAGGGCCCCCCAACCTCAACTCCTATCAACAAGTACACAATCAAAAGTGAATCATTACAAACTTCATACATGCAGAATTGTGGCTTTTACAGAGTTTTGATTTTACAAGTGGGTGTGTTATTGGGATTTTAAAAATGTAGTCTTGGAAACCCCCTGCAACAAACCCCAGGTTGGGAACCCCTGGCCTAGCAAGCAGCAGAGACTAAATGAATTTCAGCAGCAGGATGACGACAGAGTGGAACAACTAAAATGGTGCGTGTGAAACAGCTTTGGTATCAACTCTGGACTTGGGATATCTGTAGCAGTGTGTACATCAGTGTGTTGTTCGTTGTCCAATAGAATGTGGAGACAGTTTAAAGGACAACCAAAGATTCCGTCCCACGACTGAGCTTTGTCCATTGGTCGTGGCGAGATATTTATAGGCTTGTCAGACTAGGTTCCTGAGATTTTAGCCTGTAGCTGTGCACTGCATTGTTCGTTCATTCTTTTTCATTAAAAAAATTAGGCCTAAGCATGTATGTAATAGATTATTTATTGAAAAGTTATTTTCTAATAAATTATTTTACTGTTTCAAATTAATGTTTTTTATTTTTCCTGGGATGGCCATGGCACCCCCTGGCCACGTCTTGGGGGCTCCGCCTGCTACAAGTGATCAAGTATCCTCACCGTGTGTTAAAGCGTAGAAATGTAGAAAGAGTCTCTGTTTGGAGAATCAGGACTGAAACGCTAACATCGAGTGGGAGGAGAACCGAGGCCAAAGTGCATTGATGCCCTTAGAAAAATATCCCATAAATCTCAATTTTGCAAACCATGGTTATTGACAAGCACACAGCAGAAAAATGCAGCATTTCTGGTTGATCCAGACGTTTGATCTGGTATTAATGGTTTCATATTCAGGCCAGCTGCAATTCAAAACTCATCAATTTCACCTTTCTGCAAGTGAGTTTAGATCCTTCCCAGTTAATATGCTCTCGCTGGTGACTTGTTTTCAGTGACTCGGTGACATTTAGGAAAAAAATAACAACTATACTAACATAGTGACCCTAAAACCTCATAAACATCTGGCACGATACTTAAAAATGCTAATAAATGCTACAATTTAAAATGCAAAAACATAATCTTGTGCTTAAACTTGCAGATAGAGTCAGTAGTTCCAGTCAGAAGAAAGCAGCCTGTTTAAAGATGTATTTCGGCATAAAATTCTCATTAATTTTTGAAAGTTTCATTACAAATGGACCAATCAGGCTGCAATTTTCTTCTTTCTTCCCCCCCGTGTCCTGTCTGGCTGTGAAGCAAACAGAATTAATGTCTGAATGCTGGTGACAAGCCTTACAGATTTACTCTCAGGTGGAGCATCAAAGCTTCTGCTTTTAATGTCAAGCCTGATACGTAAAACTTTATTGTTATTGTTTTTTGAATGCTTGTAATTCCGACCGGACACTGAGACAGAGGTGAAGAGACGGGGGGGGGGGGGGGGGGGGGGGGGTCCACAAAGATAAAAAATCAATGATGAACAAGAGTCAAGAGTCTGCTTCTAGGCCTGAAGAAGGAGAAAACACGAAAAGGGACACACAACAATACCACAGGAGCAAACAATCACTGCGCCAACCTGATGAGGAAATATAAAATCAAGATTGTTTTACAGAACAATCAAACGATAATAAATCACAGTGCATTAAGTGCCAACCACAACCTCAAGACATGTGTTGAATGTGCCCAAGTCCATACTTATGAGAGCACCATAGAGCTCCGGACCCCACGTGACTCTCAGTTAGTGGACGCCATTTTGGCATGCAAAAAAGGTAAACAAACACGGATGTAACCATGAACATGAACGGGATCCGCTTGGATTTTACTTCGTCGGAGTTTACTTCACACTTTAAAACAGAAGAAATCGTTTTATATAGTCAGAAATTAAATAGACTAAACATCTACGACCCTTACCGTGCCCCTGGGATACTTTTTAAAAACGCCAGAAGCTGTCGTAGCGGACTTCTTACCGGCACAACACCGGACCTGGCCGGGGAAACCCCTTGGGATTCCCCCGGCCGGAGGAGCTGGGGAGAAGGTCTGGGACTCTCGACTCTACTGCCCGCTCCGACGCCAGAAGCTGTCGGTGCGGGCTTCTTACCGGCATAACACTGGACCTGACCGGGGAACCCCTTGGGATTTACCCGGAGGAGCTGGCTCTGGCGGCTGGGGAGAGGGAAGTCACGCTACTGCCCCCGCAACCCGACTCCGGATACGCGGATGAAAATGGATGGATGGACGGACAAATAACAGATTTACACGTAAGTAGTCTCGGTGACATAGATAATAGCAATCCAAAGTGCTTTTTATGTGTGATCTGACAATTGATCAACCATTGCTTATAAATTAAATACGGCTTAGCCGGTTAATTGCTGTCATCATAAAACACGTAAACGGCAGCACGCAGAACTCACGAGGCAACGTTTTACGTGATGTTTACTTGCTGCTGTGAGTAATAAGACAGAAAAAGCCACGCCAAAATAAGTTTAGGAAGCCCACTAAGAATCATAATAAAAGCATTTAAAATAAATACCATACACAGTTGAGGAAACATTGGTTTAAGTACCTGATATGAAGTGGTCGCTGCATAAGCGAAAACCTTTACTCTCGGGATCCCACAGCTTCATTTTATCCCGGTCACTAACGTGTTTTATTACAATGATCCAACGTTTGCGGCGCTCCGGATCTTGGGGAATCCTGTAGATGGCTCATTCTTTATGTCGTCCGCGTCTGTTCTGCATCCTGGGGCACAACAGGAATCTACCATATTTCCCGTTTGATTGAGTTTTCTGACTATAACAAATAGTCCAGCTGCCGGCTTCTGCATGCCAATATGGCGCCGTTTCGATTTGAACTGTTGCATGCCGGGAGAAGTGACGTCAACTCCCGGAGCTCTATTGGATGTGTGTGTGAAGTGAAACTTCACTCAAACTATCACACCGCTTCCGGTCGGCAACAAGATGGCGCCTGTGCTTGGCTTAGCTGCAGTCACTGGCCACTTTTTCAAACTTTTCTCCACTAACCTCCTCTTTTCCACCTTGCTCTTGTCTGCGATCCTCTTCAGTAGTGTCCCTGCTACCATCTCCTACAATCGGCAGACTCTTTTGTCCTTCCATTCGTTCACTATCGCCCAAGACGCACCGAGGACGTACCATCCTGTTTGTTTACCTGAGTGGCGCACTGGCCCGGAGCCAAACGACGGTCCCGAGCTGCGCACCTCCAGCTATGTTTGTCCGGTCCCGGGAAAACGTCGGAGGAAAAGAGGTAAACGAGCAGGAATCTAGGTGAGAATAAGACTTCTCTTAAAGCGTGGTTTATCTAGTAAAAATCGGCGCGATCTTCTAGCTTCTTGTCCTTTGTTTGGTGACCTGAGCGCCACTTACGCATTCCCGCCAGGCCGCGTTGCGACGCGGTTCATCCGTCCAAGTTTTTTAAGGTCAGTTTATCCTCATTCCTCAGTGGTTTCTCCTCCGGTTCCCTCCATAAATGGTTTTTATAAATACCGTGGATCTAACCCCGCTAATTTACGTCCACTAACTCCAGCTGTTTCTGTAGTTTCTGATTCCTCCACCTCACTCAGCATGGCTGTATTAAATACCTGCTCTGTTAACAATAAGCCCTTCCTGCTCAATGATCTAATTCTCTCTAAAAACCTGGATTTTCTGTTTCTGACTGAAGTTTGGCAGCAAACATCTGATTATTCTGGTCTGATTAAACTCTGCCCGAGTGGTTATTCTTTTCTTAGCCAGCCCCGGGGTTCTGGTCGTGGTGGAGGCCTAGCTGTTGTTTTCAGAGACCATCATCCATGTAGCTCTACAACCTCCGGTCGCTTTGCTTCCTTTGAACTGCAGCTGATTAAAGTCGGGCGTAAGGACCCGTTCTACTGTGCTGTGGTCTATCGTCCACCTGGTCCAAACGGTTCTTTCCTTCAGAAGTTTAGTGACTTTATATCCTCCACTGTGAAGCTGTCCAGACTGGTGATTGTTGGTGACTTTAACATCCACCTTGATGATCCCTCTGATCACTTTGCCATGAATTTCTCCAGCCTCATGGACTCCTTTGGCTTTACCCAGCATGTTTCTGGCCCCACACACACCAGGGGGCACACTCTGGACCTTGTTTTTACCCTGAGACTAAATGCTGACAGTGTTTGTCCTGAGGACGTTTATATTTCAGATCACCATTGCATTTTCTTTAAATTGTCAGTTTCTGCGTCCCCACCTCCTGCTCGCCGTATGGTTAGTTCTCGTTTTCTTAATGAGAGCACAGCTAGAAAGTTTTCTGCTGCTTTTGATCCACCCTGTTCTTCTGATAACGACCCAGATTCCTTAACTTCTCAGTTTAACGAGCACTGCCTCTCCATTCTGGACAATATATGTCCTGTCAGAACCAGATCAGTTCCTGCAGTGAACCCTACTCCCTGGTTTAATGACAGCCTTTGCAGCCTGAAGCGCCAATGCAGAAAAATTGAGCGCTTGTGGAAGAAAACCCATCTCCACGTCCATCTGCTGCACCTAAAGGATCTTCTGACATCCTTTAACTCTGCAGTCAGAGAAGCAAGGCTATTTCTCCAACCTGGTGTCACAGAGCAAAGGGAACCCCAATGTGCTGTTTAACACCATCAGCAGCATCGTCTCTCCTGCCTCTCCTACAGCCTCCATCCACTCTGTTGCAGACTGTGAGAACGTTCTGTCTTTCTTTGTGAACAAAGTCAATAAGGTTTGATCTAGCATCTCTCCTTCAGCATTATCGCTGCCTCTCCCGACTCCAACCAGACCCATCATCCTAGATAGCTTTGCTCCTGTTTCTTTGCCTGAGTTAACCAAACTAGTTAACTCTATGAAGACCTCTGCATGCCCCCTCGACATCTTACCCTCATCTTTGTTTAAAAGTGCTTTTCAGTCCATCGGTCCCAGCGTGCTCTATAATTAATTCTTCTCTGGTTTCTGGTCAGGTCCCTGCTTACTTTAAGAATGCTGTAATCCACCTGCTTCTTAAAAAACCGAGCCTCAACCCCTCTCTCCATAGCAGCTTCAGACCCATCTCTAAACTTCCGTTCATCTCTAAGATCTTGGAAAAGGTTGTGGCTAAACAACTCAAAGCTGCTCTTGATGAACATAACATCTATGATAGCTTCCAGTCAGGTTTTTGTAGAGCTCATTCTACTGAAACAGCCTTACATGGACAAGCACCATCTTACATTGGTGATCTTCTTAGTCCCTTCACCCCCAGCAGGTCCCTGAGGTCCAGTGATCAAAGCCTACTGGTTGTGCAGCACCAGACTAAAGACCAAAGGTGACATATCATTTGCTGCTGTGGGCCCCAGACTCTGGAACTCTCTCCCCCTGAGCCTGAGATCAATGGACTCAGTGGTCTCCTTCAAAAAGCAGCTGAAGACTCACCTGTTCTAGCTGGCTTTTGTATGACCTTCTTCAACCCCTCTCTCTTTATTCTGCTCTCCCCACCTAATCACCTTCCTCAGGATCCACTGATTTCCCTCTTTCCTCTCTCTTTCTTAACATTTTTTTAAATCACAATTGTCTATTTTTGCCCATTTTAAATATATTTTTAAACATTTTCTAAATGCTTTTTTTATATTTTTACTTTTTTTTGTTTTTGTGAAGCGCCTCGTGATTTTTATCTTGAGAGATGCTATAGAAATGATATTTTCTTTTTCTTCTTCACCATGAGAGCACCATATGAGCACCTGTGTGTGTGTACACACGCTTGTATATGTAAGGTTTCTCTATAGGAGCGTCCAATAGAGAGTGTGAGGAGCCACAGACCTGCCCCCAAAGACGTGTAGGAGATGGAAGGAGCTCCAAGTCTCAGAGATCCAGGAGCTGCCCCAGAGCGCAGGGATCCCAGGGTGACTGGAACCAGAAAAGCCCCTGCCCCCCTCAAGAGGCACAGAGGATTGCCCCGGGGGACCACAAGCCTACACGCCCGCCCGCAGCATCCAACCCCCAAGCCGGCAGAGCCCAGAACCCAGCGACTCGGGACCCAGAGGCGACCAGCCCCGCCAGGGATCCAGCAGAGCACAGGGACCCAGATCCCACCAGGCAGCCACCAGGATTGATCAGGCAGACGTCAATCACAAGTTTAAAATGCAGTAGCTGCTACAGTTTTTCTACAGTAGCATAAAGAAGTATGACTTTGTTTAGCCATTATGTGAGAAAAAGATTTATTTATACAATTTGGCTCATCCAACAATTTATAATATAACATAATATAGTATAATATAATATAATATAATATAATATAATATAATATAATATAATATAATGTAATATAATATAATATAATATTATATTATATTATATTATATTATATTATATTATATTATATTATATTATA